TAATTACCATTATTGTCAACAGAAAATTATTGTATTTCATTTCAGCTTCATTGTTTATAAACAGTCACGTTATCAGCTTCATTGTTTATAAACAAAGTCACATTATCAGCTTCATTGTTTCATTACAGTGTCCATATATCACATGTGCAAGTTATTGATTACATTACACTTACCTAAGCCCTGATAAAACAACTATAAACTACCAGGAACAACATTAAAACCAAAGGTAAATGTAAACAAAATAAACAGAACATGTTAAACACTGGAGATATGTTAAACTGATGAAATACAGCATTGGTAAAAGTTAAAAAACAAATTTTAAGTACAGATTTTGGTCCAGGTGTTGTAGGAATAAAATACTGAAAATAGGTTTTGTAAGCTTTTCTGGGATAGTTAGTGCAGTTATGGTCGAGATGGAGCTGTGAATATAATGATATGTTTATGTAGGTATACAAGTCAATGTTTCACTTGTAATCCTTATGATGGTGGTGTAGTGTGTCACTAAAATATGTAGGCTTCCTAGGGTTTTTAATAAACCATATTTTAATGTGAAATAAATCAACATTGTATATGTATTTCTAATAATTTAGTCTTTTTTTACGGCTATGCAGTGTTTTCAGTAAAGGTACATTCCCATAGAAATCCAACATAACTGACCTTGTACGTTCTGGCAGTCTCAGGGACAGGACCAAACTCTCCAGTAAGATGATTCTTAACATTATTAGCCTCATTTGTTTCTTCATTAATGGCACTATTGACAGGAATAACATTAAAATTAATACCCTACTGACCAACTTACAATATTAAAGATCTAACAGGTTTTATAAATGTTGTGTGCTTAATGAAAATACAAATGAAAAGTTGCTTGTAAAAACTAGTTACATCTCATTTTTCATGTAATCAGAAGTTGTTTACATAAATTTTACATAGCTTGATAAAAGGTTCTTAAATGTTTTTCACAAAAACGAAACTATACCCAGTGGGCAAATATGTTAGCATTTACAATAATGGTAATTATCAACAGAAAATTATTGTATTTCACTTACAATGATAGTAATTATCAACAGAAAATTATGGTATTTCATTTACAATAATGGTAATTATATAATGTGACTGTTTATAAACAATGAAGCTGATAATGTGACTGTTTATAAACAATGAAGCTGATAATGTGACTTTGTTTATAAACAATGAAGCTG